GCCACCTCGGGCATAGTTTCCAGCTTTCTTCCATGTAAGGGCATACAGAGATACACCCTACATGCCAGGTTCAGAGCTATCGACAAGCTCGAACCTACTAATACTCTTCCAAACCAAAATGTTCTTAACTAACCAAAACTATTTTCCATTAGGACAAACAACCTACTCCCCAACTTCTCTATCCATCCCCCGCCATAGCTCAGAGCTCGACACCTGGAGCTATCTGAGCGCCCCACCAAAACAATGCTCGTTGTAAACCTTGCTGAAACCCTAACAACAAGAAGACCATACCCACCTTTGACAGATGCACCCCATCTTGCCTGTAATAACCCGCCAACTACGCTTCCAACTCCCCATGCCTTACAACTCTTTCCCTCAAATGCCTCACATAAGTTGCCACAGTTGTATTTACCGTCCCCCTACTTCTTGCCACCGCCTGATGTTACCTATCGTTTTGCCATTGCGATCACGGTACCATCTCTGACCATATGATAACCACGCCAGGGACCATCTGCCTCAACCCATACAAATCTTTCTTCAGCTCCGTGAGCAAAGCCCTCTGTGAAAATAGGCTGCATTAATTCTTCCCCCCCCCCCTCCCGGCATGAAACAAAACAATGTTAGGTACTTTACCCACTCTAAGCCTTTGGAATAGCTTTAATACACTGTGCCAACTGCAACCTCTAAAACCAAATTACTCCATCTGCACCATCGAGCGTGGGAAGCCCAGCTGTGTGCCTTGACGATGAACTGCAGCTCTCCTTTGTGACCACATATGAGTGTCCCATCACCCATGCAATCCAACCTGCGGAAGAAAAACACGTTATCCACACAGAACATGATCACCATTTCAACCAGACTTAAACTAATTCGTTGGGCCTCACCTATGAACTGAATCTCACCGATTCCCCCCTCCTGATCTTCTTGACTGGTTCACCCCCCAACCAAACCGAGCTGCCTCTGTTGCAGCCCCAAACCTGAAAGAGTGCGTGCCAAATTTTTTGAGTGGTTTTCTAGATTTTCACCAAATTCCATCTTTTATACATGCATTCTATTCTTTGCTGCTCGACAGGTCAATGGATGAAGGGGTAACACACATTCAAGTGTATGCACTTACGGTACCAATTAATAAATGCAAATTACACGCAGTTCTTATTACTGATTCATATTGTAGGTGACTTGCCTACATTAATGTGTTTTATTTCTATGGAAACACAACAGCCAATTTCCAAGAGACATTTGTTTAATTAAGTTCTGGAAAGAAGACATGCTGTTTCTTCTTCCAAATTCAATTTCCACAGAACACAAGAGGTGTGTGACGAAGGTGTGGATATTATTCCTTAGCCAGTAAACATCAATGCTAAATGGACTACATCAAGGGATTCCTGTCTGCGCTTGTTTATATTCGCACAATTACACTTTAAAGTACTGTAACAATACAAATCCCTTTTGCACTCTGCCAGTCTGGTACATCCCCTTCACAGTGTCTTTATTATGACTATAGAGGTAGGCCTAGACATATTATGGTTCGGTAGAGCATTCATTGTTACAATCTTTTTCAGTTTTGCTCTTAATTACGCAAATTAGTGTCTTAGATGTGCTACACATAAAATAACTCCTTTATAAACCTGTGGAAATATGAAAGAGAACCGACTTTGAATTTACAAATATTTCAGAGGGTTTTAAAGGGGCACCATAACTACTACAGCTCTATTTAGTAGTTATAGTACAAAAAGTCTCTAAATGCCATCTTCTATTTTTTTTGTCAAACTAGGAGCATTTGAAAACAATTGGACTCTTAGTAAGGCTTTTAAAGAGATTAATGTATAAAGTATTACACACTCTGTATATTTATTGTTTGGCATAATATGTTAAAGGGGCACTGTCATGCCGAACTTACCTTTCCCTAATCGCTTCCTCTTCTCTTCCTCTCTCAGGATCTGTTCTTCATTTCTTCCTAACTGATCTAGTTTTCTTTAAAACATAAGACAGAGTAGGGACTATTTATCTTATGTAGGTTTCCTACACCTGACCATCTATGACCAGCGGAGGAGCAAATTGTGCTCCATTTCCTGTTGTCAGAGAAATCTTCCCACAATTCTCACCTTTTCTCCGTGTTCTCGCGATGCCTCCTTTCCGTATTCCCGAACTCCGGCAAAACTACTGAATTTCACCATAACAGAATGAGAGCAGTTCGTCTATTCGAGTTAGGACGAAATTCAGGACTTTTGTTTGGATCAGAGTTTCATTTGAATGAATGAAATTCAGATCCGTGCTGCGGCTGACGCTTAGTAGATAGCTCCCTAATTCCCACGGTATCTATCAAGATTGGTCTTTCAGCCAATTTTACTAATACTAAGTAAAGATTAATTTGTATTAGTAATTAATCTACTCCTACTTGCTGTGGGAGTAGATGGCTGCTCATTGTAAAAAAAAAATACCCCCTCAATAAACAGCCCCATGGTGGGGCATCTCTTATCTAGCCTGGGGGGACATAGTGTCCCCCTTGAGCCCCCACCCATGCCCTGCCCTGCGGAGTTCAGTCTGCGCAGTGCCCACACTGGGTGAAGATGGATTATTTTTTTAGCGTCGGGATTTTTTTTTTTTGGGCTGATTTTTTTTGGCTCAGGTTTTTTATTATATTTAATACGTCCAACGGGTATTATGGTTTTTTATTTGGCCCGTTTTGTGACTGAAAAAATTAAGTTTTAGAAAAAAGAAGACATCAAATGGTAAGTATTTTATTCATTTACAGGGATTTAGTTTTATTGTCGCCCCCTCACTATTTTTAGTTTGAGGGGGTAGGTAGGACTTACATTTTTTTGGAGGTAGGTGGGGGCCTAGGGGCTTGGGGACCCCTAGTAACCTGGGGGAAGGAGGGAATTGACATTTAGCCTCCACCCATTGCCCATGGATGAGGGCTGGGGGGAGGACAATAGGTCCCCTCCCCATTTTCATTTAGCGCCGCCACCTGTCGCCCATGGGTGCGAGCCAGGGGGGAGGACAATAGGTCTCTAACCCATTTTCAATTAGGGCTCCCTCCGGCCGCTCATGGGAGGGGGACAGGGAGGAGGACAGTAGGTTCCCCCCCCCATTTTCAATTAGGGCACCCACCCATGTATTTTTACATTTTACAAGGAGGGAGCTGCGCGCCGGTAGCTCCCTTCTTGTAATAAACTGAATGAACGAACACCGATATTCGGTGTTTGTTTGTTCATCTGAAATTTCTATTCATTCATTTGTCTTTCTGAGGAATGAATGAATAGATGAAAGTGTTTAACAGGGCATGTATGGGGATTTCACATTGCTATCTAGTGTGGGCAGATGACATGTCCCACTTCATCTACTCACACAAAGATGGCGGCGCCCAGGACCTAGGTCCGGGCAGAAAATAAAGATTAAAATATAGGTAATTTGGGGGGCTTACTGCCATTTGGAGGTGATTAGGGGGACAATTAGATGTAGTGGAATCGGGAGGGTGGTTAAAAAAAAAATGGATTCGGCCATGACAGTGCCGCTTTAATAAGTTACACATTATTAAATTGTCAATTTAAATACATATTTACACAAATTTAAAAAGGATTTTTAAGCAATATATATATGATATTATATACTAAGCGCGTCACCATATACTTCACAAACAATAAAGGATATTTGTGACGGATCGCCTGGCACCCTGACCGGGTACCTCTGTCAATTGTTGCTTCCTAGAGCTTGCGAGTACCATAAGCGCCGCACTGGAACACCATAACCACCGTAAACCCCACAAACCACCGCAGCTTGGTTGGGGTCTTGCTGTCCTCCACCCACCCTGGACCCAAGACCAGGATCCAGTCTCCTAGTCTAGAGAGTGTAGCAGGAACAGCTCTTAGAAGAGCTACTGATTATACTCAGGAGAGTATTGTGATATAGCAATCCCCAGAGTGTATGTAGTTCTCCAATCCCCCAAACATGAGCCAAGACTTCAAGAAGGGGTAAAGCATTCTCTTTTTAATGGGAGCCACACTTGGCCTTTTATGACAATCCCCATGCAAGGGGTACTCCCACTTGGACCTTGTTGCCTTGTTGGGGACTCCAACACAAAGACACAGACCAATAAGAGCAGTGATTAAATGCACTATACTCCCATACACAGCACACAATCCCTCCCCTCCGCTTGGGAGATAATTGGAGTTACTGATCTATAATTGGAAGTACTAATTCTAATCCAATTATCTCCAAGCACAGAAAAAACACACTTTTTTAAAACACCCCAAAAGTACCCTAATAATACATAAAACCCCACATGTTACATCCCCTGATAGCCCTGATCTGGGTGACCAACTGGCCATCGGGCATACCGGGCAAACGCCCTCACTCACACAGCACCTTCAGACACACACAACACCTTCACTCACACAGCACCCTCAGACACACACAGCACACTCTCACACATATACAACACACACGTATGTATAATATATAAGATAACCCTCAGTAAGTTAACGGACAAAGAAAATTAGAAACATAGAATGTGACAGTAGATAAGAACACCCTCACACACACAGCACCCCTCTTACACGCACACTGCTCTCCTCACACACATGCTGCACCCTTCACACATACACACAGCACACCCAACACACTGCGCCCTTCACACATACAATACGTCCAAACATATATATATATATAGAGTTCAAGTAGAGATTGTAGCCGTATTAGTCCAGTGATGTAGATGTAAAAAACAGATAAAATTCTTATCTTGTAATACCTTTTTTATTGGACTAACAGAATTTTTTAATGACAAGCTTTCGGGAGAACCTCCCTTTCTCAAGTCTGAAGCATTTCTGAGCAAAACGACACATAGAATTCAAAGTTGAGTTGTGATACAGGGGTTAAAGCGACATGAGTGTAGATAAGACACAGGTTTGTTAGAAAATAGACACCATCTTAGCAGAGGGTCATAAATATCTTGTTGAAGAGAAGAGTAGGGGGGAGAGAGGGAAAAGAAAAACAAACAAGCAGACAGTGCACAGGATGATACACTTTATACATGCACACACACAGAAATATGTATATGTGAACGCATAAACATATGTATATATACATAAACACATATACATACATGCACATGGACTCATATACACAAATATAAACGCACAGTAATATATATAAGCATTCATGCATACGAGTATGGGAAAGCATAGGTCTACACATAGTACTTTGTATATAGATAGAATAAACATATAGGAATGCATTTTAAAGTGTTGGTACATATGACAGAACAGTAAGATAATGCTGGGAGAGTGTTCATGTAAAGTGTTGGTAGTGGGACAGGAATCCCAAATCAATATTTAGTCCTCTCTTCTTGCTGTTAAACCATTTAATCATTCTGGCTTCAAAGGCTTTTCTTTCCTGGGTATTTTTAAAACCCCCTTTCAGTACTTTGATTTTTAGGTCCTTCAGTGAGTGGCCAGGTTGGGTAAAGTGGTGTCCCACAGGAGTGCAGTATGATTCTTCTTTGTGGTGTTTAATAGAGTGTCTGTGCATATTCATTCTGCCATTTAATGGCTGGGTGGTTTCCCCAATGTAGCATCCTAGGTGGCATTTTATGCATTGAATCATGTATACCACATTGCTGGATGTGCAGGAGTATGAACCTTTAATGCTGTAGGTTTTATTGTTGTGTGTGGCTGTGTTGTCTGTGCATATGTGCTGACACAGTTTGCAGCGAGGTTTTTTGCATTGACTGGTCCCGTTTTCTTCGTTCTTACCATCAGTGGGCAGCCTCCTGTTGATTAATTTTTGTTGGAGGTTTGTAACCATGGATGTGGAATCTCTGTACAGCAACATTCCACATACAGATGGCATCAATGCTTGCTTCCATTTTCTCTCTCATGTCAACAACCAAAAATACAGCCCCCGAATTATCACAGAACTGGCACTATTTATCCTCACACATAACTACTTCAGTTTCAACAATGAGGTTTACCTACAAACCATGGGCAATGCTATGGGCACTAAGATGGCACCCCAATATGCTAATCTGTTTATGGCAGATCTTGAACAGAGATTCCTAGATAACCAACACACCAAACCATACAAATATTATCGCTACATCGATGATATCTTCATAATTTGGACTGAAAGCAAAGAAAAACTGATACAGTTCCATGACTCTTTCAACACATTCCATCCATCAATCAAACTAAAAATGGAATATTCCACTAGATCTGTGAATTTTCTGGACACAACTGTGACATGTAATAATGGCACAATCCACACCTCGGTTTACAGAAAACCCACAGACAGGTGCAGTTACCTACACAGCTCCAGCTTCCACCCCTCTCATACTAAACAGGGCATCATTTACAGCCAAGCCACTAGGTACCATCGCATATGCTCTGATCCTAATGACCGTAATTCCCATCTAAATGTACTCTCCCAATCTATGAGACAGAAAGGCTACAAACCAAAGACTATTACCAAACAAATCAACTCTGCTGTAAAAATGCCACGTACGCGCCTGCTACAATACAGAGAGAGAAAAATATGCACACGAGTGCCACTTGTGGTCACCTACAACCCTGCTCTTGAGGAAATACGGAAAATCATCAAAGACCTACAACCAATATTAACAGAAGATGAGACTCTGAAAAACATTTTCCCTGAAACACCCATTTTGGCCTTCAGACAACCACCAAACCTCCAACAAAAATTAATCAACAGGAGGCTGCCCACTGATGATAAGAACGAAGAAAACGGGACCAGTCAATGCAAAAAACCTCGCTGCAAACTGTGTCAGCACATATGCACAGACAACACAGCCACACACAACAATAAAACCTACAGCATTAAAGGTTCATACTCCTGCACATCCAGCAATGTGGTATACATGATTCAATGCATAAAATGCCACCTAGGATGCTACATTGGGGAAACCACCCAGCCATTAAATGGCAGAATGAATATGCACAGACACTCTATTAAACACCACAAAGAAGAATCATACTGCACTCCTGTGGGACAACACTTTACCCAACCTGGCCACTCACGGAAGGACCTAAAAATCAAAGTACTGAAAGGGGGTTTTAAAAATACCCAGGAAAGAAAAGCCTTTGAAGCCAGAATGATTAAATGGTTTAACAGCAAGAAGAGAGGACTAAATATTGATTTGGGATTCCTGTCCCACTACCAACACTTTACATGAACACTCTCCCAGCATTATCTTACTGTTCTGTCATATGTACCAACACTTTAAAATGCATTCCTATATGTTTATTCTATCTATATACAAAGTACTATGTGTAGACCTATGCTTTCCCATACTCGTATGCATGAATGCTTATATATATTACTGTGCATTTATATTTGTGTATATGAGTCCATGTGCATGTATGTATATGTGTTTATGTATATATACATATGTTTATGCTTTCACATATACATATTTCTGTGTGTGTGCATGTATAAAGTGTATCATCCTGTGCACTGTCTGCTTGTTTGTTTTTCTTTTCCCTCTCTCCCCCCTACTCTTCTCTTCAACAAGATATTTATGACCCTCTGCTAAGATGGTGTCTATTTTCTAACAAACCTGTGTCTTATCTACACTCATGTCGCTTTAACCCCTGTATCACAACTCAACTTTGAATTCTATGTGTCGTTTTGCTCAGAAATGCTTCAGACTTGAGAAAGGGAGGTTCTCCCGAAAGCTTGTCATTAAAAAATTCTGTTAGTCCAATAAAAAAGGTATTACAAGATAAGAATTTTATCTGTTTTTTACATATATATATAGATGTATGTATGTGTTTGGACATATTGTATGTGTGAAGGGTGCAGTCTGTTGGGTGTGCTGTGTGTATGTGTGAAGGGTGCAGCATGCATAATATTATTATTATTATTGCCATTTATATATCGCCAACAGATTCCGTAGCGCTTTACAATATAGAAACATAGAATGCGACGGCAGATAAGAACCATTCGGCCCATCTAGTCTGCCCAATTTTCTAAAAACTCATTAGTCCCTAGCCTTATCTTATAGTTAGGATAGCCTTATGCCTTATTATATACTACAGCATCACTACACACATTACGCTCCAGATACACGCTGGATCCCTTACCCTATATACACTCTGAATCCTCTATACACACACACAATCTCCTATACACACTCTGGGTCCTTTACACACAAGATCCCCTACACACACTGCACCAACTACACACACTACATTCCTGACATACAAACTCTGGATTCCCTATGCACACACTACATTCCTTGTAAGCAAACACATACTACATTCTCAAAACACACACTCTCTACAACCCCTACACACACTACAGCCCGTATGCACACACTCACTAAATCCCCTATTAGTGATGTACCGAACGGTTCGCCGGCGAACGGTTCCGGGCGAACATAGCATGTTCGCGTTCGCCACGGCGGGCGAACATATGCGCGGTTCGACCCGCCCCCTATTCGTCATCATTGAGTAAACTTTGACCCTGTACCTCACAGTCAGCAGACACATTCCAGCCAATTAGCAGCACAGCCTCCCTAGCAGACCCTCCCACCTACTGGACAGCATCCATTTTAGATTCATTCTCAAGCTGCATGCTTAGTAAGAGGAGGGAAAGTGTAGCTGCTGTTCATAAGATAGGAAAAGCATAGCTAGGTTAGGGATAAGGGTATGCTTTTTTTGGATTTTTTTTTTCTATCTAATGTAAATGCACTTAGTTGTCTGCCACTGCTGCCAGCTTCTGTGTCAGGCCCACAGTGCCCATTTCCCCAGTCAGTGCCACCAATTACATCTGGTGTCACAATAGCTTGGATTTAAAAACAAAAAACTTTTTTCACTGTTATAGATTGAATAGCAGTCAGTTGTCTGCCACTGCTGCCAGCTTCTGTGTCAGGCTCACAGTGCATACTGTGCCCATTTCCCCAGTCAGTGCCAACAATTACATCTGGTGTCACAATAGCTTGGATTTAAAAACAAAAAACTTTTTTTACTGTTATAGATTGAATAGCAGTCAGTGTCCTAAAGCGGGTGTGTTACGCTAACAGTGGATACGCTGACAAGTGCCACTAATTAGATCTGGTGTCACAATAGCTTGGATTTAAAAACAAAAAACTTTTTTACTGTTATAGATTGAATAGCAGTCAGTGTCCTTAAAGCGGGTGTGTTACGCTAACAGTGGATACGCTGACAAGTGCCACTAATTAGATCTGGTGTCACAATAGCTTGGATTTAAAAACAAAAAACTTTTTACTGTTATAGATTGAATAGCAGTCAGTGTCCTTAAAGCGGGTGTGTTACGCCAACAGTGGATACGCCGACCAGTGCCACTAATTAGATCTGGTGTCACAATAGCTTGGATTTAAAAAAACAAAACACTTTTTTCACTGTTATAGATTGAATAGCAGTCAGTGTCCTTAAAGCCGGTGTGTTACGCTAACAGTGG